ATCCTGAGGTATGGTAACCCTACGTGTGGGAAAGCCAAGCATCGGGACGAATGGGTCGGCTCGACGAGCGATACCACGGCCCTACAGAAAACCGGCGTGAAACAAGAATATCGTTGTGTTTCGCCGTGTGACTGAGGTTCCCGGAGGCCAAATACTTCTTCCCCTCCAACAAAACCTTAATATTCGAAACTATATCTAATCCCTAATAGACTAGCAACGCACTTGGAACTCCTCAAGTATTTAGAGTGTAAATGGGTGGAGCCGTTTACTTATCATTACCATCAGATAATCCTATCGTATAAAAATATGGAAGTTAAAGACATCAAATTGTTCGAAAACAGAAGATTTGCTGTACTTAAAACCAATGTTTCTAAAAAGCATTTAAAAGTTCCCTAACCTCGGGATTGGGAGTGTTTCCAATCAATGTTCTTAAGCCCCTAAAGCGACAATCTTTAACTAAGTAATCCGGGATAAGGTCTTATCAAGTCGCTGGCGCTGGCAACATTAATGAGTTTTGATGATATTCTTGCCAAGAACCCTATTTTTATTACAATGTTTACGGAGCCAAAGATAATTGTTAATGATTTGGCAAAACAGTACTTATCCACTGTTGTTGTTTAGTCACTACTTTGTGTGATGGAATGCGCCATAAGTATTCAAAAGACAATAGGATTTTCAGATTTTAAAAATCTAATTACAAAAGAGTAATAACATTTTATGTACGCCGCTCGTATATCTAGTATGTTATCTTCATAGTTTTGTTGTTCGTATTTTTTTGTTGTTCGGTTTGACCCGCGGTGATGCACCCGCATACAAAATAATGTACCGGTTTTTAGGCAGTTAGAGTCTCATCACTCCCTTATGCCCCACCAAGGACATCGTGATTGTCCCTCAAAACATACGCCATGAGTATCTCCTATACATTCCAAATACGTTTATCATCATCGTCATCAGCCTATAAGTGCCCACTGCTGAGCAAATGGCTCTTCTCATACGGAGAAGGTTAGAGCATTAATCACCACGCTTGCTCAATGCGGTTTGGCGATTTCAAACTTATAATTAGAAATTATAAGTCCAGGTTGCCGCATGATGTTTACCGTCACCGTACGGTATGTCAGTGGTGTCAATGATCATAGGAAGTACATATAACTCGGAAAAGTCACCTTGGTACTTGAAGACGTTTATAGTGCTTCCTATTTTGAAAATTGAATTTATTCTTTCAATAAATTCATGTGACTGTCTTTAATAGTTATCCATGGATATCTCTCGAGATTCATGGATGGTGAAACAGCGATTAATTATTTATGTGCGTTCGGAAATAAAATTTAAACTTGTATTGTTTATATTACGTAGTTTCCGATGATAAAACTAATAAGGCAGGCAATATTTAAATGCAAGACTGCAAGAGAAACATGTACTAAGTATGATTGCATACACATAGATACTAAGACAAACATGGCTGGATGTCTGGCAGAGAAGGCTATTAGCGTTGAACCCTCCTTCATGCATATGTATAAAAACTTCCGCGTTATTATTTGTAACTAAGAAAAAGAACTATAGTATTTATTTTGATACGAATTAGGTACATAACTCCAAATGTGCCTGCATTTGGAGTTATGATACACTTGATATAGCAATTCCACAGCTCATTTCTTCATAAACTAGCAGCTATGCAAGTTACATGCATCTGTCACCGACGCCATGTTGTCGATATTACGATTCAGGATTATTCTTTCGTTCCTAGCTAAACTGTACGATGCTTATTTCAAAACACGAATGGTATAATGTGTTCTATGTCGTAAGAAATAGAACAAAAAATTCGATATAGAAAGAACTCTGGATTTATTGCTAATATTTAATTTAATTGAGTTAGTAATATAATTCTCTTTGTAACGTTTTATTAAAGCCATTGCCACTTAGTAACATATAGATATATAACAATACATAATTTATTAAAAATACGTCAAGTAAATAACAATTCATCTAGAACTCTCCTAAGATTAATTAAAAACTCTTCTTTGAAAATCCTAGTAAAGTAGGTACATTTCAAATTACTTTCGTAAAGGTCTGTTATTAAAGCAGTCTCCTATAAAACGGTTTTGTGTTATTTTTCCAGAAAATTATCATCGAAGCCGGGCGTTGAAGGCAAAATGTCTATGAGCCATAACTCATAGACATTTCCTATCGAAATGCTAGTTAATGGGCATCTTTATTGATCAGTGAAGTACTCCACTGTAATCAATGACCATCAAACGGGATGCCGTTAAGATTAAAGGTCATGAGACAGGCGCAATATCAGGCCGAGGTATACAGGTACAAGCAATTGTTATCACACAAACCATCGGGCTATAAATAGAACGAACGCTGTCATATCCAACGACCACGTCTCAAGCATGACAATCGATCGATCACACCACACATATTTAATTGAAAATAGATTTCAAATTATAACAGATGAGATCAGACTCATCACAGAAATGAAAACCTTTAACATATAAAAAAAAGAATAATCATCTCACAAAATAGATTTATTAACAATTACAGTAAGAATCAAACGAAAATTTGAAGAAGAAAAGCTTGAAATGTATTGAGTTTTCGACTTACCTAATTTTACATGGTTCTCTCAAATGCACTTGGATATTCCCGTTATTAAGGATGCAATGACGTCAAACAGTACGCGGCACTGGGGAGGCACAGACTGATTTTGACAGGTGTCAGAGAGGGCGCACCGAGGGACGCATGCGCGGGAAGCCAGTGGAAAATTATCGAGGAGGGCGCGAAACCGTGGGTGGGAGGGAGGCTCGGGGAGGCGCTCGATAAACTAAAGGATATGACGTGGCGCAGGAAATTAAAGCCTCAATTGAAGCTGGATTTTTGCTTTATTTGCAAAAGCTTATGATTGTGTTATTGCATGGCATTTACTGGTACTGATGCACTTTTATGTCAGTAGAAATAATGAGGAACAAATTGTTTTTAGCCCAAGCTTAGGAAGGTTCTTGACAACCATTTGTGTTTCTGTTATAAGTTAACGATGTTATTTTGTTTTTCGAGGCGTCAAAGAAGCGACGTCTCGGTGAAGAGTCTTGGTCTCCATCTAATAAAGTCAATTCCTGATATGTCCAGTATAATTCGTCCTTTATTCAATAGGACAGCTGATAAATAGGTGTTTACATTGAACACGTGGCAGATCATATCAGCTCTTATCTCGAAGAGCCTAATGACCACCACAGATGGAGCCCAGTAGGGCCGATGTTTAGCTGGGATTGTGGGTCAAGGTAATAAGGTGGCAATACTCTCCTGCTTTAGGCCGAGGCCGCAGTATGCCTCGGCCTAAAGCAGGAGAAGGAACGGGGTGGATTTTAGTCAGTCTGTCAAGAGACTGACACTCCCTATCGCCATACCAAAGGCAATAGAAGTCAGTTGATGATTTTCTCTCCTCAACAAAAGGTTTATTTTGAATGTTATCTATAAACGAGGTTATACTCGTAAAAGACTAGCTACTCTCACGCGGTTTCACCCGCTGCTCAGCTCCATTTGATCGTAGCGTGATGTTTTATAGCCTATAGCACTCACGAACATTGTAGCTATCTATCAGTGAAGAATTTAAAAATTTAATTTAGAAGAAGACCAGCGGTTCCAAAGATTACCCCCTACATACAAACTTACAAATTTTACCTCTTTATAATATAGATAGTATAGATTGATTGAAATACGACTGTGTTATTTACTCCACTTATAACTTAAGAACGGCTGAACCGATGTAGCTGATAATTGGCAGGGAGGTAGTTTAGAGCCAGGAGAAGGACATAGGATAGGATAAAGCCTACCTATAGTATACTAACCTATACCTAACCTAACCTATACTACCTATAGTATAGGTTAGGTAGAGTAGGGTAGGTAGAGTAGGGTAGGTAGAGTAGGGTAGGTAGAGTAGTGTAGGTAGAGTAGGGTAGGTAGAGTAGGGTAGGTAGAGTAGGGTAGGAAGAGTAGGGTAGGTAGAGTAGGGTAGGTAGAATAGAGTAGGTAGAGTAGGGTAGATAGAGCGTTTAAAACAATCAGGAAAAATGCCTTTGTTAAAACAAAGATTAAATATGTGAGTCAGAATTGGACTGATAATGGCTTTAGCGAGTTTGAGAAATGTAACAGGTATACCGTCCCATCCTGTGGCGGAATCATTTTTGAGATTAGTAATTAACGCATCGACTTCAGCAACATCTGTTTCAAGTAATACGAAAGATTTTGAATGGAAGGAGGCGTTAATACCGCAGGTTATTTTGGATGGATCAGAGACCTGTCTTATGCTGTTCGCCAGTTTCTGGCCCACCTCAGTAAAATACTGAATAATCGTATTAACTGAAGAAATTGGATCATTTGGGCTGAGCCCTAAAAGTTCCACGGCTGGGTTTTTATTACGTGTGGTATTGGTTATTTTACGAATAAGGTTCCGTGTATCTTTAGGGTTTTGATATTTATCAATTGATGAGCTTTCATACTTGTTTTTAATTTTGGTTAATAAGTCGTTACAAAAATTCCTGTATCTGCAATAGGATATTTTGAGTATTTCATCTGAAGGCGAGGCATTGAGCTTATTGTGTAGAGCGTGACGGTGTTTTATGCACCTAAGTAAGCCAGGAGTAATCCAGGGTCTCATAATTTTCTTTCTATTTGGAATTTTACGCATAGTTGTACTGGATTTCAAAGCTTCTTTTAAATGTTGGGTTAAGTTCGTGGTCGCATAATTGGGATTATCACAGTACAAAATAGAAATAAGATCCTAAGATCGTTTGTGTGGAGAGAGCCTTGTCATAGTCAATAAACTGTAGAGTAGGTAGAGTAGGGTAGATAGAGTAGGGTAGGTAGAGTAGTGTAGGTAGAGTAGGGTTGGTAGTGTAGGGTAGATAGAGTAGGGTAGGTAGAGTAGAGTAGGTAGAGTAGGGTAGGTAGTCAAATGACGGAAGGTACGCCGCGGCTAAGAGCTAGTTTCAAATAAAACTACCACATGCGGTCTTAACAAAAAACCGTGTACAATTTAATTTGTAGTTTGAACATAATCATAGGAGAAATGCTTAGACTGTGCGTGGCTGTAGATAGCAGGCATTACAGGAACCGATAGGGATTGCAGCGGAGTAACAATCAGAGGGGCAGACGGGGCAGTCAGCAGCGTATGCCTTGGGGTAGTCACAGTTCTGCTCGGTCGACCACACGGATGGGCTGGCGTGCTGCACATTAAAACCAAATTTATTTTAGCTGCATATCTATACAATAACATATCACCGTACCACTAATATGACGACGAGCTAACGGATTACCTGATGGTAAGCAATCTGTGCTGCACATGGACACACGCAACTCCAAAGTATTTACGAGTGCATTGCCAGCTTTTGGGAGACAACGCTATGAGTGACTTTACTGGTGGCCCACACCAGTAACTTAACTTATAGTGTTGTGTTTCGCAGTGTGAGTCATTCCCAATCCTTAAGGTGCTCCCACACAGCAGTTATATAACGTTAGAGACTGACTTTTTTAAACAAATTATAACAAAAGTTATAAATTGTTACAAATTATAACAAAAGTTATAAATTGTTACAAATTATAATAATTTGTAATTGATGTTATACAACTTCATTTAACATTTTTTTTTCAATCATAAAATAAACGCCAAACCTATCAGCACTTCCTCCATTATTGGTTCACTACCACCTTCCTCGAAAGACAACCCGAACTGATTGAACATAATGTTATACGATGTTATACAACGAGTTCAACTAATTTGGGAGCGTTTATAACATATAACATTTCTTAACATGTTGTAGAGTATTGTTACACGCTGTTATAAATGTCACAATGTTGTGTAACTGCTGTGTGGGAGCATCTTTAAATATCAGAAACCATTATTCCCAAGAGGCCGGCAGCGCACTCGTAACTCCTTTAGTGTTTCCATGTGCGGCGCCGATTGCTTAACATCAGATAATCGGTACGCTCGTTTGCCAACCAATCCCATAAAAAACAAGAACGATAATTGTTTATTCTGATAATAATTTATTGTTATTTTATATGATTTAATGATTACCTTGATAAAGCTAGCCAGGGCACACTGCATGATGTCGTAAGCAGGGCAGTTGAGGAACACTCCTTGTGCTCGAAGCTCTGGGGCGAGGCAGAAGGCCTTCACGTGCTGGACGGCCTGGGCCCACTCAGGATGCTCCGTTTCGTACTGCTCGAAGTGTGCCCTGATCTTGGCCTTGTCTATAACTCCACGCTTAGACCATTTCTGTTCACGGAAGACGCAGGTAATTTTTTCACACTGTAAAATAAGGATGTTCCACCGAAATTAATACACCACATAAAAAAACCTTTTATTTATAACTAAAGATTTTTTTATAAATTACCAAAAATTGACTGTTATCTATACTAATATTATAAAGAGGTATTTGTAAGTTTGTATGTAGAGAGATCTTTGGAACCGCTGGTCGGATTTCAAAAATTCTTTCACTAATTGATAGCTGCAATGTTCCCAAGTGCTTTAAGCTATAAAACAATCACGCTACAATCTTCTTCATACTCCGAAAAAAATATAGATTCTTCACTTTTTATTGAAATTAATCATAATGCCATATTTTTACATCGGTGTCTTATAAATCTAGTATTTTTTTAAAAGAATTCAGAAAATAGATCTAATGTTAGGTAGTGGAAGAAGAAGGAGTTAAAGGCATAGATTATGGGTTATGTACACAATATGTTAATGCCTTTAACTTTGACGCATCATAATCCAGATTCACATTAACACCACAATTTTTTCGCCAGTATAAATCAAACGGGCCTATAATTGGGAGTCACATAGTTTATCCTCCACTTTCTGCGTATGCACCTATTGGTACAACATAGCTGAACTCACCTCTGTAACCTGACTGGTACATTTGGCAGCCGCTTCTAGATTCAACACACGGGGGTTATTCAGGCATTTGAACATCTGTAAAAAAATATAAATCAATAGTTGTGCTAAATAGTATTTCGAAAGAAATGGTAAACTCAATTACCTTTGCAGGTACGTAAATATTCTCAGGCGGGGGCAATGTAATAAGGACATGTGGCCTCGGCCTCGAGTAGAAGAAGTATCGGGGGGTTTTTAGTCATTAAGAGTCTGACACACCCTCCCTCCCCACCCTGGACAACAACTCATGAACATGAGCGCCTGCTATGGCTTGAAACTAGTTCAGTTACCCTCGTTCAACGTGAATAAGCCGTTGCAAGCAGTAATAATTATTGGCTCTCCAACACTCAAATAATCATTTTGAGTGTGGGAGAGCCAAGCTTCGGCACGAATGGGTCGGCTCGACCGGAGTGATACCACGGCCTCACAGGATACCGGCGTGAAACAACCACAGCGTTGTGTTCCAGGACGTCCACTGCTGAACATAGGCCTCCCCCATTGACTTCCAGATAGGCCGGTTGGAAGCGACCTGCATCCAGCGGCTTCCTGCGACCTAAATCAGGTCGTCTGTCCACCTTGCGGGTGGACGTCCTACGCTGCGCTTGCCGGTATGTTTTCATAGCGTTTCCATAGCGCGCTGAGCGACCTTCGCTGGTAACACACATTGATTATAGACTTTCGTCTTAAGGCACTGAGGTAAGTTGGACGAGAAGATGTTGCGTAGTTTCCCGAACTCTGCCCATCCAAGTTGGATTCGACGATTGACCTCCTTCTCGAAATTGGACCTACCTAGCTGGATCACTTGTCCAGGTATACATATTCGTCAACAATTTCGAGGTTAGAACTCCCAACTGATATCGGATAGGGCCTGACATGGGCGTTTGCCATGACTTTCGTCTTGTCCATGTTCATTCAGAGCCCTACCTGTTGAGAAACTCTACGGAGGTCATCGAGCATTGTGCTCAGATCCTCCAGCAATTCTGCCATGACCACAATGTCGGCACATGGGCGGCGCCGATTGCTTACCATCAGGTAATCCGCCTGCTCGTTTGCCGACTTATACCATAATTTTTTTTTTATAATTTATTTCTAGGATCTTTTTTATCCTGTGGAAAAATCTGAGGGTTAGGCGACTAATTAAAAACGATCCCGTTCCTTCTCTTGTAGTTGCCCCACAATTCCGATTGAACATCGGCCTGTTGAGCCTCATCTGCGGTGGTCTATTTGGGTCTTTGAGGAGCGTGTGGAACGCTTCGCGTCGTTCGATCAGGTCTAGTTCTGTTCGGGTGGCGAGCTACCCTCGCTTGGCTAATGGCCCGAGATTGTTGCTAGATTTCTAGGATCTTAGGAGTAGTGCCTTAGTAGTTTACACTTACATTATTTGGTGTCACTCCACAGAACGTGCCGGAGGCTTTATTTGGAGCTCCGTGGCAGGCCTGAAATCACACCAACGATTCAGTTAAAACCTTTAGGATTTCACTTTGTAACATTTAAACATTTATTACGTAAGTGGTTTAAATACAAAAACTAAACAAATCCTCATTTCAAAAAAGCATTAAAACATTTGCTTGTATATCGAACTATAATCCTAAAAGAGCTCATTGCTGAGTAAAGGCCTCTTCTCACATACATAGAGATGGACGGAAGGAAGGCTTGGTAATTTCAAACTGAAAATTAGAAATTAATAGCTACTCTCGTGCGGATTCACCCGCTGCTCGGCTCCATTTAATCGTAGCGTGATGTTTTATAGCCTTTAGCACTCAGGAACATTGTAGCTATCTATGAATAAAAGAATTTTGGCAATTCGACCTGCGTTTTCAAAGATTACCCCCTACATACAAACTTATAAATTTTAACTTACCTATTATATTATAAGTATTAATCGTATATTTATAGTGTAGAAGTAAAGATAAGTTCAGGTTCCCTTATCATCATCGCCCTATAAGTGCCCAGTGCTGAGCAAAGGCCTCTTCTCATACGGAGAAAGTAAGAGCATTAATCACCACGCTTGTTCAATGCGGGTTGGCGATTTCAAACTTATAATTAGAAATTATAAAAGTCCAGGTTTCCTCACGATATTTACCTTCACCGTTTGTCAGTGGTATCTAACCATAAAAAGTACATATAACTCGGAAAAAGTCACATTGGTACTTGCCAGGTTTCGAACCCACACCCTCATGCGTGAGAAGCGGACTCCTTAACCTCCGTGCCACCACGACATTTTTTTTGGTTCCCTCACGATTTTCTCTTAAATGGTGTCATAGTACACGAGTAGCCATACGGAATGTCAGTGATGTCTAACTATATAAAGAAGTCCAATACATACAACTTGGTTAAAGTTACATTGATAGGTGCTTGCCAGGATTTCAAAACCCACGAGAAGCGGGCGCCTGAACTCCCGGGCCACCACGACATTACTTTTCACTGTCCAAACAATTACATTTTCTTGGGCAAAGCATCTACTTTTTTTATTGAAAATAACGACTAAATGTCGTGAATTAAGTAACTGAGAAAAGCTCTACTAATTTCAAGTCACAGCGGGACTCTTATTCATGAGTCATTCACGTCTCGCAACTGATTAAACTACAAAGCTGTTTTTCACGTGAGTGAGTAATTATTTTCAATTAATTTAGATTTTTATCGAACAAAATAAATTAACATTAAACACTGTATCTAATCAGAAGATGTTGCTATAAGACATAGTTAATTCCTTTAAGTATATTACCAATTAAGACTTGCGTGGGTACTACTTAATGCAATTAGAACATCAGGCCACGTAGGTAGGTATCTAATCCCAGAATGTGAGATTAAGTCACAAATAAAAATAAACTACAGGCGTACTAAAGGTGTACCTACTCATGACTTATCTTTTAAGATGACATACCTATCTATCATCATCAGCCATATTTAAGTGCCCACTGCTAAGCAAAGTCCTCTTCTCATACAGAGAAGGTAAGAGCATTTATCACCACGCTTGCTCAATGTGGGTTGGCGATTTCAAACTTATATTTAGAAATTATAAGTTCAGGTTTCCTCACGATGTTTACCTTCACCGTATGTCAGTGGTGTCTTAATAATCAAAGAAACTCGGAAAAAGTCACATTGGTACCTACTTGTCAGGTTTAGAACCCACACCCTCATGCATGAGAAGCGGGTTTCTTAACCTCCGGGACATACCTATGTGTGTACAAAATGTAATTAACATATCCTATAAACTTAGTTTAATTAGTTTTTAATTATCTCTCAGTTAGGAGCATCGTTTGTCGTATTGAAACCTAACTTAACCTACTTTAATTACATTCCTCGACTCTACTGATCAAAGCTGTATTAAAATCTATTCATGTTCGTTGTAATTTGACTGCACGGTTGGTGCGGTGGCTGGGCAGCTGGCTGGCGTGCAACGTGTCGCGGGTTCGATTCCCGCACGGAACAACTCTTTGTGTGATCCACAAATTGTTATTTCGGGTCTGGATGTCATGTGAATGTGAAATTGTATGTTTGTAACCGCACCCACGACACAGGAGAAAATCGTAATGTGGGGCAATTTTTTTGTTTTTAAGAATTAACGAAATACAGTGGGAGAGCCAAGCTTCGGCTGGAATGGGTCGGCTCGACTGGAGTGATACCACGACCTCGCATTTCTGCGAGGTCGTGGTATCACCGGTTTTCACCGGCGTGAAACAACCACAGCATTGTGTTTCGCCGTGTAAGTGAGGTTATCGCGGAGGCCCATATATCCCCATCCCCCATCCATTCCCAATCCTTAAATATTCGAAACCCATTTCCCTAAAGGGCCGGCAACGTACTCGTAACTCATTTGGTGTTGATTACTTCCCATCAGGTAATCCGCATGCTCGTTTGCCGACCTATAGCACAAAAAAATGAAATATCTAGATACATTTCTAAATAAATACTTGTATAAAGACAACATATCGTTAAGATACTTAATAACTATTATGACTTAAGATAATTCCGTACAATGACCTGACAATTATCAAAGATCACAACCCAGCAATATTTAACTAGGTATGTACATAGTACCTAATAACAAAAGTAGTATCGTATTTCCAGAAACTTTTCAGTTCCAAAGATGCATTCTGAACAATTAAGTGTACTAGTGTACTTTCATACCTACTATAGCAGGAATTAATAGGATAACGCAAAATGAGATACAAGGAATAAAAGTGTAATTATATTTTTCATTTTTATGCATTGAACAATTTTTATATTTTATTATATTTGACCTAGGTCAAGAACCTAGTTACCAATAATATTTTTTAGGTAGCCAACCCACCTAAATAGTTATAACCTATCCAGTAAAATCACTAGCATTGATATAATTATTTTACTTCCATACCTACACCTAATACTAAGCAATTTAAGTAAAAATACATAAGTCCACCAAGCAGGATAAACTAGGTAGATATCAATACAAAAAAATAGTTTCAACTTACCACGAAACTCAAAGCAAGGAACACACAGAGCTTCAACATGTTTTCGAACACTCGTCGTCGACGGCTGTTTTAAAACGACTGGAGCAAACAAAACAAGCTAGTAATACTAATCAGTTGTAACTCTAAAGGTCAGTCAGCTAAGGTCATGATCACACAATGATAGGCTGCAATAATAACTTGTTTTTGGACCTCTAATTTAATTATGTATGTTTTAATTGATGTCTTCGCGCCATTTTCAAAGTGTAGCAGAGCTATGCTTCGGCATAGATGATAGACTGGACGGGCCTCAGGAAACAACTCTTGCGTTGTGTTTCGTATGTGTATTGGCTTAAAACTAATCAAGGATTTAAAATAGTATATTCAGTTTCTGTTTTTTTTTTACCTCCGCTTCCTTGATTTTGGCTAACCGTAAACGAAAGACCACATTCTTAATAATGTTTAGGTAGGTAAGTACTTCAAATCAGTGAAGAGAAAAATGGGCCGGATAATATTTTCGCAGGGGTGTGTAGGTATTGCTCTTACGTCGGCACTGAGCAGGTAGATTACCTGATGGTATGCTTTCGGGTCACGTCAGGGTGCGTCGTCCTAGACACCCGCAACATCAGAGAGTTAAAAGTGCCTTACCGTCCTTCAAACGGTTAAGGATAAATAAAATCATGATCCGGGTTTGCGATGCAAGCGCAATAAGGTACTACAACCTCGGCCTGAACAGGGTTGTTCTTAGTCAGTAAGAGTGTTTATATACTCTTTGGTGAGAGGCCTCACCCTAAGCGAGAGAAGTCGTTTGATGACTTTTAAAACTTTAAAAAACGCTCAACCTTCCGCTCACAATCTTTTTTATGAATAGGTGAATAGGTAAATAGATAGTGGGTAAAAATCTAATCCAAACTAATATTACCTGTAAATGCTTAACCAACGCTGTCTGTCTTTTCTTCACGCCTAAACTACAGAACCAATTTGTGTGAAATTTGGTAAGTACAGACATAGGTAGTTTGGAACTCGTGAAAGGACATAGGATTGTTTTTAAACTAAAAACCTGCGGGAAGTTACTCTTCCACGCGAACAAAGTAGCGGGCAAAAGCTAGTGTACCTACTTAAGTGTGAAAAGTACAGCCAATGCCAATAGTCGACTTTAAGCGCTCCTTGTACTTGCTTCACCATTAGTGCCTATGTCTATAACACACTGTAAAATAATCCTAATCCTTCCCTCCCCCAATCCCTCCTCAATCCCTAAATTTCCAAATCCCTAATCCCTAAAAGGTCGGCAACGCACTCGTAACTCCTCCATTGCGAGTGTCCATGGGCGGCGCTGATTGCTTACCATCAGGTAATCCGTATGCTCGTTTGCCGACCTATTACATAAAAAAAAGATCAAGATTTTAACATTTTTGCAATGTTTTTACAGTTTAAAATACTCTAAGACGTATTAAGATTCACCCAAAAAGACTCAAAAACTATTAAGCTACATGACTACAAATAGCACCGAATATGGACAAGATAAAACAATATACCTACATTGCTGAATCTATGCACCTGAAATCACAGAGTACATTATTATACCGCCTGAAATAAAACTACAATACTGTACTATAGCTTTTGAAAGCAGACGCCCGATTGCCGGTCACCAAGTGGTTAATTGACTTCTTGCTAGATGGCGCTGCCTATATTGAGAATTATATTTCAATACTAAAAACATGTTAATTGTTGTAAGGATTTATTTTTAATATTATTAATATTATCCTTTTATTAAATTGTGACTATAAGTTTAAACCGGTTTAAACACAAGTAGCGTTTTAATCGCAAACTTGAATATCTGATATATTTTTAATATTATAGGCTTGGCTTCAGGCATTTTCGACCACTTGAAATAATATAAGTTTTAGTCAAACAATTTATTATGTATATAAATAAATAGATAGAGAGAGAAATCAGTGTCTTGTCATCCAGTTATTTACCAATTCTTTCATTATTATTTATTTTTTAGTTTATTTATTTGGACAACATTGTACTATATTATTTGAAATCATTTACAAGTATTACTTTATTTGTACTTTATTGCAATAATAATGTTTTTTGTGTAATTAAACTAATTGAGGTACTTTATTTAAGTTTAAAATACAGATTTTAAATTAGTTTATGCGTAGCTTGCTTCGTAAAACTCATTCATGTAGTATTGTAACGACCTCTGTCGACACTACGTGGTGATGTTGACAAAGATTAAAACATTTGCATAGGTACAAAACTTAATACATCATTATGATGGACTTGACTTAATTATGTAAGAAAAATTGAAAAGACTTGAAAAAAATTGAATTGTCCAATTCAGTATCCTCTATATTAGTTCCGTAGTAATTTTGTACAATTAATTTGACCGAATAAAAAATAGGAAACGTTCAGTTTCAAACTTATTATATAATATTTTTCCTATTAAATTTTCCGGTTATTACTGTAAATTAAAGTTCATCAGTCAATTTAGGTTTTAAAACAAGAAACAAATTATTAACTTGAACTACTTTCATTTACACATTAATAGGCATAAACGGACTAATGAAGTACGTTTTACTGACATCATTTGAGTGTCGCTTCTGCAAGTCGAGTATTATCTCTAGTGATATTCTTTGTTCTGATTGACGTTCCATTCCAAGATGGCAGACATGCCGCTTGAGCCATGATAGTATGGAATCGTAGGATTACGATTTTTAGGTGTGTCTTTCTAAATATCGAACTAGAATGTCTCCCGAATTCTTGACTAATGTCTTATACGAATGTTCTGACGATGTGAAACAACTTGCTCGCGTTAAGTGCGCTAGTTTTAGGTAACGTTTGTGCCGGGACATATGTAATAAAACGGTGATCGAAATTGTGTTTTTCGGTGTGTCGTGTACGATAAGTATTCTGGTTTGATGTAAAATTAAAATGTGGAATATGATGTGCGACGTGATGCCCACTATATCGGAGGACAGTATCAGTCAAAGGAGTTCGCAGTTATCCGGTGAGGATGCGAATTTCGAGCAGTTGATGGTGTCTATGCTCGATGAACGAGATAAGCTGGTGGAAAGCCTGCGGGAGACGCAGGAACGACTGGGAGACTCGGAGCTGCGGCTCAAGGAGGTGGAAAAGGAGCGTGACTCTCTCCACAGACAGATCGCCGCCAATTTGCCTCAGGTCAGTGACTTGAATGCTAATGCCTAGCTGCTTATGTAAAAGCGGATATTATTTATATTGCGATTAGTGCTAGACTCTGTTACGGTAATGCAGACAGGTTGAGGTTGTATTCAAGTTCATGTCCAATATATTTTCTATTCTGTTTAACTCAACTGTTCTTGTATCTGAGCTTTAAAAATCAAGTTTGAACTCTTGTGAGTTATGCCTGATTGTTAATGAATTAATCTTGTAGCAGCCATTGATTACTAGCTGAACAATAGTGGTAGTCAATTGTATAATCAGACTGCAGCAGACAGTAGGGACTGCACTAGACAATAAACCTATTGATGTGCTATTGTTAACTGCTCTATAACTAATAATTAGGACAACTGATTGGAATATTATATCATAGAAGTCAGTAATTTTATTGTATTTGGACATCTGTAGGGTGTTATTGCAATAATCATTTACATAATTGTTAAGTCTGGATCACTCAAGAAGTGTGTATCACTTTGTATATGCTCATGAATAAGATTCCCCTGCATCTTAAACTAGTAGAGCTTTCCTGAGCCACTTCATGTGAGTAGTGAGTAGTATCATCACTAAATTCCTTTCCAATTTTAATTAAATAGTTTTGCTAAGATAAACAAGTAGAAATGTTTAAATGAAGTTTGTGCTGAAATTAATTAAAATTTAATTAAACAAATTGCTGGATACTGCATAATAGGAATATAGAAATTCAGTTATACAAATACAATAACAGTAAAAGAAATATTAATTTTCTTGCATGCCACTGTCATTGAACCTTTTGCCGAGTTTCATTTAGATTAATATAATTTGTTTTTAAATAATGTCAAGGAAGTTGGTTGTAATGTTCTTTATCTTAAATAATATTATGTGCTCTGGCATTGTAACAATGAATATTGTTGCTGCTTAGACCATGTCAAGGATAGTTGTAGACATAGTGCTCAGCCAATGGAACTGAATCTAATAAATGTAGACTCTATTTCCAAGATGAACAATTATACTTACTCATTATGACCTTCTTTTCTAATTGTTTTGTAAGTATTAACTAGAATTCAGTTCTAAATATTAGGATTTTATATTTGTAGAGCAATAAAATAGATGTCTAAATTTTTATGTAATTATTCAAATAACATGCTACTGTTTCTTCTGCATCTTGTGTCCTTTAAAACATATCCACTTGCCCTTGAGTTCATGTACTGTTACTAAATCATTTAATGCTAAATCTGAGACATGTTCAGCACATAACTTGGAAGTCAATTAAGTAGTCTTTTTCATTATTCAATACATAACTATAGACTATTAAGTCATTTCACTATATTCTGACTAGGTATGATAACAATAATATGCCTAACATTTCTTGCAGTCTGTGAGGTTTTGAGAACTTCTGTAGTTTCATATAAAGTAGGCATTTATAGTTCATTATAACTAGTGAATTATGTTCCACTGAGTTTTCTACTTCCCTATGTCAGTTCTTAGCATTTGACGGCATTTACAAACGTAAACTGTAGCGGAATGCAAATATTGATACTAGGTCAGTAATCATTCATATTATAGATTAAATCACTGATATACGCTTACAGTGTCAAGACTGATATCATTGTGTACAATTGACTACTAAAGAAATGTAATTTTTTACAATAGTAATTTTGTTATTAATTTAAAGTTATTTTACATGTTGAAGGGATAAATGGATTGATGAAATACATATTTACAGGCAAATAACAATTCAAATATGAGTGTAAATTGTATAAATAAATAACGAAAAGCCTGAGTATTTCATTTGAACCTTTAACTGAACAACTAAATTAGAAATACAGTTTCATGTAAAAAACAGCTAAATATATCTATTTTCTTAGAAAATTTCAGCATTATCCATTGACCCTGGCTACTTATCTCAATTGTTGACTGTACAGCGTAAAGTCTGTGTTAATTATCATTGTTTGCTGTTTGAATAGAACATACAAATTCTACTCATAGTTAACAAATTATTCATATTAGTTACTAACTTCCGTATGCGGTTTTGGCTGCGTAATATGTTCATAAAAATCTGCCTACGTGTTAATCCAGGGTTTTATCTATCTACATACCAAATGGTCCAGCCGTTTTTGCCTGAAAGAATAACAAACAATCATACAATCTCACAAACTTTCGCATTTATGATATTGGGATTGGTAGCATGTTGTATCTAACCAGGCTGAAATGTTTATTCTCTGCTATGTTTGTAGCTTATTTGTATTTATGTATAAGTTGACTATTACTGGAGCTTTGAATGTATTATTTTAACACATCGTATTTTGATTCGAAAATATAAATGTTGGACATCAATTTTGCATTTGCATGGTCAAAGAAGGTTTAATTACACAATAACTTTAAAATGAAATTGAATTTATCCCATTCTCACACTTATCCTTAGATTAAAACTTAGCAAACTTTTGCTGTCATGCATTGTAACAGCTAACTAGTAAAATGATTTTAGCCAGGCCTATCACAATACAATAATAAACTGGAGCAGGTAACCTCCCTTTTTAGACCATGCAACTTTAAAGTGGGTATAAAGCCATATCTGGGTTGTTGGTGCAAGCTCAATAATTTACTGCATCCCCGAATTGGAACCGGAGAAGGAACAAGCTAGTTTTAGTCAGTAAGAGAGACCCAGAGCGAGAAAATCTATTTGATCATTTTCCCACCACAAAAAACTCATAATCAAGGCTATCGAACGGACCTGCAAATAATTCGATTCACCCAATTGCTAATCATTTCATCAGAATGACGTAAACACCACCAAAAACAATATTCCTTCGCCCACGATGCCGCTTACATCTGTTGTGATTTGCATCACTTGTTTCGATTCCATTTCGATACAAATTAAGCAAAGTTTCTTGTTGCCTGTTTTGTTTGACGATCGAAGGCTTGGAGAGCCTGTGCATCGTATTTTGCCTGCCATAACTCGAGAGATAGTACCTGTATACCTTATGGCCACAAGCCACAGTAACTTTTAGCATAAACTTACCGCCGATGTCCAAAAACCTTTACTAACTTCAGGAACACGTAGAAGAGAAAATAGTTTTAGATAAACATAAATATGTTTCTGGATTATACTTGTATACGAACCATATCGTTTAGCTTACCTATTCGCCAGTCAAGCGTAGTCATTATAGCATCATCTCCCCTAAACCGTTCATTGAAGCGGTGTGACGGTGCAATCGTCTACATTTCAATGTCACTGCGATCGATTTCACTCTCTTGTTATCTATTAAACGTTCAAAAATAGGAGTGGTGTTACATTTTTTATCATCATTAAACAAGTCTACATCTTCGGTCAATTGGGTTATCACCAGAATCCTAGGTTATAAAAATATTCACTCACCGATATGGTAAAATACGTTGCAAGTGATCGCAATTTGTTGGGTGTGTTCTCACATTTTTCCAGATGTTCCAATTCCGAATCCAATGATAGATACGTCCCGATTTACAAAGATCTAGCTGGTAGAGTTACGACGTCGGTTTCATATGTCAGGAAGTTGTTTTCCGCTAAACAATGAATGTCGCCTTCAAGCAGACACTTATCTGCTCTCGTCCGAATATCACACCACTTACGAACTTCCTCAACCTTCACGTTTTTAACTTGACGGCCCCTGTAAGAATTTCAAAAAGAAAAATTACGATTTTTATATTACTTTTATTCAAATGTAATTTACGGCCATGTAAATGATCCATCACTTACGACTTCCCCGTAATTTTTTAGGGACCCCGCCGCACGGTCGCTCTCACACCAAAATTCGTTCAGTATTTTTATATTCAGCCAAATAATTGTGTTGAGTTTATACGAAGTAATTTGCTAAGGGAATGACTAGAGTTTTCCTCGCAGTGATTTATGAATGTATCCGTAGCGCAATTAGGCTGGATTGTCAGCGATTTTGCATGAATTAAGCAAGCCTAAAGTAGGTACCTGAAGGTAATTCGGTGGAATTTTTCACCAAAGAATGTTGCCAAGCCGTGAGGGGTTTCAAAATGGAGTGTTATTAACTTTGGAATGGTTTAAAAAGGTTTTAGAAGGTGTTGAGGCAACTTTGTTTAATGAAGATATTTATGATTATGAGCATAGTTTGGGCTGTGTCATAAAAACTTTTTAACAGCTTTTCGAGCGCTATTATTAGCTATGTCATGTTGACATGAACAAGCTTTGTGATTTGTGCTTCACGACGTAATGCTTCGTGTTTCTTTTTCCACACTAACTTACGCATGTATAAGAGACTGTTTCGAATTGAAGCTGTGCATTGGTCACATACCTTGCAACGAAGGCAATTGTGTACCCTCACTAAACTATCGGTTTTACGTCCACTATTTTCCTAAGCATCCTGTGCAGCAATCCCGCTCCGCCTACATTCCTGATAATCAATGTCTTCCTAGAATGCCACTACACATTTCCGGAAGCATCTATTTCGGTCACCGACGTGGCCAAGTCAAAATATCAATGAACTTCTAATGCCCCCTATATTTAGATTGGAGATAATTTGGAACACTTTCTACTAATGTGTACGGGGCCGTCAAAAGGCAGCTATTACTCTTATTTTGGGTTTCAATTATAATGCCGTATCATTGAAAATTTATTACCTATTTATAAAAATTACTTTGAATTTAATAGCGATCGCAACTTTGCCCTTAACATACTTGCATCTTGACTTAAAATTCGAACATGTATCCATACACGTCACTTAATTATCAAATAAAACTTTAGAAAATCCACGTATATAACCTAAAGTAACAAATTATTCGCGGGTTTTTAATTATTCAGTCGCCGATTTGGAGTTAAATTGTAACGACTTTTTTAGTTATGTTATAGCAATTTCATTCTATATATAAGTTTATTAAATAATATTAGCAAGCGGATATGAAGACCTTGATTAGAATCTGTCGATAGTAAAAGACATCGCATAATATAATATGCAGCCCGGCTAACGGCGTTGGACATGTACCGTTTTGTGTTTAATAGC